AACTCTATTTTCTTTCTTTCCCCTCCAGTTCAGAGGTAGGACACCAATCAGCAGGATTTCTGTATGGATCAGGGAAAAGAATATTTGGTTTCAGATTTCTGAGGGCTTTTATAATTGATGTCAGCAATATTCATTTAAATGAATAAGGTCTAGGAAGCTTCAGAGGGATCCTTTAAAGAGAATTTCTCTCTACAGATTCCATCCCAGGAGTCTGAGGAAGAGACAACTGAAAAAAAAGGTTAATTAATAACATTAAGTGTTTATCCAGCTAGTGCCAGAAGGCAAGGGACTACTCTGTCAGCTAGACTAGACAGGGTTGATCTACATAAGAGAAACCAGAATTGCCTTCTTAAACAAAAAACGATCTTGCATTTTAAATTAAAAAGAAAAAAATATATATTTATATCAAAACCTATGAATAAATGCAAAAGTACTCCTAGTCTTTCTATGTTTCTATGAATTAAATTAAAAACCCAACAAATAAACAAACAAACCACAAAGATTTAGCTAATATAGCTTTAAATTTAAAGATATTTTATTCTGACAAAGGGAGGTGACCTGATATCAAGGAAACTAACTCTGAAGAAAAGACAGGAGTAAATTAACTCTTCAGTCATGCTGGAAAGTTGTTTGTGGAAGTCAGAGAGTACAAAACTAATGTTACATCCTGGAAAAAAAGGTAAATCTTCATATGTAAGACTCTTTCTTCATGGTTTAGAATGGAGTTCAGCTTTAGGGTCTATATCATAAGCGTTTTCAGTTGGCTTCTAGTAAAACAAGAAGTAACAGAAAGTTTTCCCTAGCCGTAACTGTAAAAAACAAATCTCATGTTTAATTACTCTTGATTGCCAAATTGCCAGGTGATCCCAATCTACCACAAAATTATAGATGATAGGGTTCTCCAGGACACAATGGATATGCTTCAGAAAGCAAATGAAAAAAACCTAACAAAAGGTTTGTGCAATAATAACCAAATGGACAGCTGAAGTTACCATGGCAGATGGTAAGTGTGAGAGTGCTAGAAAATCCTCAAGAGTTTCCATGAGCAGAAACTTTATCCCAGAGCTTTAGACAGATTTTTTTAACTCCTGTGATCAGATGGCAAGGTCTGTGGAGAGTAAGGGCTTTGATCTGTCTTCATGATCACGAGTTTTCAGAACAACTTTGATTTGCTCATACAGCGATGTTGCTGAGAAGAAAATGGCCTACCAGCTTTTGTTCTGAGTGAATTTGTTTTGAGGACAGACCGCTTCTTATCCAGATATATAGTCCAGACTGGTGGCAATGGCATTTATAACAGTGTTCAGATCTGCCAGGATGAGACAGATTCACCTATCCAATCACAGATGGTAGAAAATATGACTCACAGCTGCTGCTGTGTGAGAGCTTGGCTTCAGCAAGGATTCGGGAGCACTTGCAAAAATGGATTTTATTAGCTACCATGTATTTTTCCAAAGGCTGATTTACTGTTTGCTAGAAGGAAAATGAAAAGGGAAAAAATGAGACCCTTTCTCTTAAAGAAAAATTACATTTTTGATTATGAGGAGACTCAGTAGCTCATGACTGTGTTTTGTCAGACAGAGAATTTGTCGTATTTGCAAGATCTGAGTCAAGACTCCTTCAGTGCATCTGGTGTTTCCCAAGGAGTGAATGTACTGAACTTAAGGAGTTCTAGCAGGTGGGAGTGGTGGCTGGGAAGAGGGAAAGCTGAGCTTCCTGCGGGTGGAAGGGGGAGAGCAGCGAGCCTTTTAGAAGTGCTGTTAGTGGTATACCAGTGGCATTTCTCAGGGCAAATCTCTTTTAGGACAAGCTGCTAATGACTGGCAGAAGTGAAAAATAATTGAACCTCGGTGTTTTGTTCTGAAAGCTAGCATTGTGGTGTAGAGTTCTGCTTCAGAGCTAGATTCCAGCAGTGGTTTTGCTGAGGACAGGCCAGCACTGTGATGGGTGTAGGAGGGAGCTCCAGGTGTCCTGCATCCTAGAGCTCATCATGGTACTGTAGGTCACTCAGGTTATCTTATGGGCTTTCTTTTGCCTGCCTTCCTCCTGGCTGCCTGGCAGAAGTAAGGCATGAATAGTACCTGCTGCCAGTGACAGCTGCTGTTATACAATTCCCCTTCTGTCCAGAAAAGGGCAGAGTAATGCAGGAAAAATTACTCCAGGAGGTATCCAAGGAAGAGCTCCACTGTTTGCTGTATCTCTACCTTTAGTTTTTTCTAATAACCATCTGTCAAAAAAGGGTTACCAAACTTGCAAGTGAACTAAAATATTGATCTGCAGTAGTGCAAGGTCAGGTACAAATGAAACACGTACAAGAGCAAGGAGAAGTGATGTGATCACATTGCTAATGTGATATGAATAGGAAGTTATTTATTTTGATTCTGTGAGTGGATTATCAGTATTACTGCTTTTAATAATATCCTTTCACTCTTTTGCTTCTGGCATTGCTGTACCCGTTTGATTAATATTACCAAGTGTTGGTAAAATCTGAATCCAATGCAATTTTATTTTCAATATGAAGATAGTCCATACAAATATGGAAGACATTGTGCTGCTCACCTATCCTTGCTAAAATGTGCACTATTTTCATTAGAAAGATAAAATATTTTGAGTTTGTTTTTTTTTTTTTCAAGGAACCTTTTTGGCTTAGGTGAGCAGAGACATTTCTGTCTCTCTGAAAGATGCTTTCACATAGCTTTTAATTTGTTAAATGTATATTTTTAGCTGAAGTTAATTGTCTTCACCTCCTCTTCGGGGGTGGGGAATGAGGAAGGGAGGGACATGTTTCAGAACACTAATTTTTCTGACCCAAATCTTACCCAGGATAGGTAGGATGAATTGTGTTTTAAAGGCTTTTGTCCCTGCCCACTGGCTACTGAGAAAGGCAAAACACATAATAGTTCAACAGCCAACTTCTGTAAAATAAACTACATCAGTTAAAAAGGAAGACCAAAGACCAACTAATATATGCCAATACAATAAATTCCCTAGCCATTTAAGAGGGAGTAAAAGAAATTTGAGTTAAGGTGTCAACATTTCATCTAAATCCAAATTCTCTATGGACTTGATTCCCCATTGTTTTCTCTTCCATGTCTCTACCCATATTAGGAGTAGTACTAGGTATGTTTCACCCACTGCCTGTTTGCAGGCATTAGAAAAGAGATTTAAAAACCCATGGGCTATTTTAACAAAGGCTAACCTGTTCCTTTTCAGCTTTGATTGCCACTTGATAAACAGCTAAAAGGTCAGACATAGTTCCGTTTTCCCAAAGAAGACAAGGGACCAAGCTGGTCTGAGAATCTTTGCTTAATACCTGCCTTCATTTTAGCTTAATGAAGAAACACATTTCAACAGTCTTCCTCCCCCTGCACAGTGCACCAAGGCACCTTTTCCTTGCAAAGTTCTTGCCAAATCATCCAGTAATAAGACAAGAAAGCTTGACCCTCCCCCTTGACCTGCCCTCTCCATACATGCCTGTGCTGTCTCTCCTGAGATGAGTTTACTGCTTCATTGCTGCCACAAACACGTGGAAAGCATCACGTTCCTTTATGGCAATGGTAGCTACATGGATTTACATAACTGGTCTCAGGAAATGAAAATAATCTGTTGGGTCCTTTAGCTCATTCTGATTCCTAGCCTTTATTTTACTCAGTTTATTCCAAATTTTCTATAAAATAAACCAGCAGATTAGCAAAAAGTGGTGCACAATGTTGCCGAAACATCTTTCAAAATAGAAAATTTATCACACCAAGCAATATGAAAACCAGACTTTGTAACGTTCTTCTTACATTATTTCAAATTTTTGTCATTTTTATCATTTCCTTCAGCTTGATAAGAATGAAATGCAAATACAATTTATTCTACACTGGAATAATAACTTTGCCCCTATTAAGATTAGCAGACATTTCTGGCTTTTTAATGCATTTTCAAAATCCTAATAATTTTATCAAATTGGACTGAAATAATCACAACTTTATTAAGCTTCTCAGGCTTAATATTTTGGAATATTTCATTTGAATTAAGTCAACTGTTTCCCAGAATGAAAACTGGGGAAAAAATATGTGGATTTGTCCATGTTAAAGCAATTTGGCAATAACTTTTGACTATTGGATGAGTGTTCTTAGTAATAGAGATAGATATTAATTAAGAAACCATGATCATAGACTCAAGAGCACTGAAATAAAATTAATTTAAGCCTGATATTTCAACATGCTTACAACTTTGCAACTGAAATAATATAATTGAAGTGTATTTTTCTGTGTTGCTATGTGTACAACAGTAGAAATGACATAGGGATTGCATGCAATTATAAAAAACTCTAATACATGGTTTTGATTGTTATTTTTATCAGCAACTCTTGTTTTTCTTTTTTGAATCTAAACCCCAAGCAAAATTAAAAGCGTGTTTTACACTGGATGTACATTAAAGCCTCTGACCTTTGTAATCCAGAAAAAATACATCACTCCTTCCTGCTCCCTGGATAACAGGGGCAAATATTAAACACATAGACACAGAAAACCTCCAAAATAAACTTTTGATGGCTTCTTTGTTTTCCACATCCAAGAAGGTTATGAAAGAGTGAGCACTAAATCTTAGTGAATACTACCTCAATGCCTGCTACTCTGAGAGATAGATGAACATTTTCCACATTTGCATGCATAAACACAGTAGTGGCTCCCTAGAATATATTTTTCTCATTTTCCAGGAGTTAATATTAAGCCTGGGCTTCAATGTAAATGTTTAAGAGTCCTCCCAAAGTCTTTTTAGAAGTTGGAAAGCACTTCAGATACTTCTAATAACCATGAAATGAACTAAAATAATTTGTCTTGCTTTAATCTTTCTATATTTCTTTTCTTTGTTCATTGTTAAAAACCTTTATTATTAGCAACCTGTGTTTTTCTCCCTATATAGGAATAAAGCTGTACAGGGTCTATCTGTGGCTCATGGGAATCTCCCTGCTTCTTTTTTCTTTTTTTCTTTTTTTTTTTTTTTCTCTCCAGATCATTAAAGACCAGAAGCTACTGGGGATAGTTGGAGGGATGCTACTGATTGATCTTTGCATCCTGATTTGCTGGCAGGTTGTGGATCCTTTGAGGAGGACAGTGGAAAAGTATAACATGGAGGTATGTCCTCAAGCCCAAGTAATACTTATGGTTGCATATCAGTATCTACAGCTTTCCATAAGATTAAGCTAAAGATTCATTAGGTGAAATGAAAGCAAGTAATGTATTTTGGGGGAGGAAGAGTTTCAGTTTTTAAAACCAAATAGAGAAGAAACAACTGCAACCAAAAGAAACTGTGTATGTAGTTGGAGGTGCCACATTTCTGTCACTTGTGAGACATTTTTGTTTGCAAGGGTTGTAAACACAGGAGAGTCCTCTGCTAAGACTCTCTATTAGAGTCTGTTGCAATAAATAATAGATTATCAGAACCCATTAGTGGATTTCAGTAAGAGCTCATTCAAGATAAGTGCAGGAGAGGTCACTGCTTAGACTGCATTCTTTGTGGAGGTGGTCAGGAATTATGTTACATACTGTTATATTTATTTGCAGTAATTTTATGTGCGTGCACCCATACTGATTGTTCCTCTTTTAATGGTATTCCCAGAAAGGTCACATGAGCAATTTTGATAGGCAGGAGGTAATAGCTTAATGCCAGTTGTACACACTTTCCAACACTCTGGTTGATTTCTAGAAGTGGAGCTTAAGTTTTCCTGACAAACTCACAGCAGGAAACATGGCAGCAACAATTCATACCTAGGAAAAAAAAATCTATCTGTATGTAGATTTTGCATTGTTTGAGAGTTTATTGCCTCCAACATGGAAACTGGTGATATCTGAAAACTAGATGATATGAGGACAATCTAAAAGTGCTAGTCTCTTCTCCAGTACTTGGCAATCACTTGGCAATTTAAGAAAAAGAACAGTAGTTTTCTCTTCTGATGTTAATATTTGCAAGAAAATATATAGCATTTTACTCCACTTTCACTTTGTTCTAACTTTGCAGTGTAGCTTTGGAATTTTGTTAGGAGATTTTACCTTTTTAGTATAATTTGTACAAAATACCCAAGAAAAATGCCTCTTAAACTGCAAGTGATTCCTTTGAAGAATTCATTTTAGAGTCTGAAAAGGTTTGTCTCAGTCATTCCTTAGAGTTTAAAAGACTTCCCAGCTAATACAGTTGTCAATAAATAGAAAACATAACTGAAATTTGTCTTCTGGAAACACTTCTGGCCTATGTCTGTATAGCTTGAAGCCATAGCAGCTTGCTGAGAGCCTTGTTTACTTCATTTTGCTCCAATTGTATTGTAAGTGATATTTCAGTTGTCAGTATTGTTAACATTTTGTCTGCTCATTTAAACTCAAACATATTATGACAAATAGTCATAAAATCAAATTAAAATAATCTCAGGTAGAAGAAATTTTACTTTTTACTTTAGTTTAAATCAGATCTTATCTAGTCTTAGTAGATGTACTTGAGTATAATGTCCATAGACAGCAGCAATAACTGGGAAATTAAACCATAAATACCATATATTTGCAAAACAGTGTATGCTGTAGTTTTGAATTACTGCAATTTCCATCTGAACTTTTCAGTGTATATTCTTTGATCAATGTATAATTCTAAAAACTCAGTGTGCTTTTTCCACATTTGGGGCTTTCCAGACTTGGGGCTGTACAACAGTTGCCTGAACTTTGCATTAGAACTGAAATTCTCCTGGAATTATATAAGCCCATGCAAAGCAACATTCACCAAATGCACACTTGAAAATGTTTGATATTTTGATCCCTCAGCATAGAATTGACCTGAACTTACTGTTAGAGCTCTTAGCTATTACTGTAAGTTGCGCAGAATATTTTGCAAACTAATGGACTTGGGGTGGGAAGGAAATAAAAGTATCGTTGTAGCAAATACAGTCATTAAACTATTGTATGTGCATAAAGTGTGTTACTATAAAAGCAGTGAGGTGAATTGCAATTTGCTTTGCTGAATCACACCTCTTCAGGTCTCAAATCTCCTGTGTAAACGTATTTATGTATTGTCTTTGCTGCTATTCTTATTGTTGTTGCTGTTGCTATTATTATGTTCTTTTGTAACTTTTAGGTTTTTAAAGTGTAATGGTGAATTCTTTAGTTGAGTTTGATTGAGCATATATTATCTTTTCTGTGTTTGAAAAATACTTGCCACATAGTAAACACTACTGGTGGCAAGTTTCTGTTTAATTTCAGGAATATTTTGTAGTGGATATTTCTGGTCCCACTTGATTCTGTGAAATTACTTTAAAGGGATTATTTCTGTCAGTTAATGTTAATCCAAGAGATAAAGATTTAACCAAATGTAGGCTCCAAAGTCATGAATGCAATCAGTCATCCTAGCTAATGAACCATTTGAGTTCTGTTTAGGAATACTCATCAGCTTCCTACGTGTAGTTCTGCATTTGGCTTCTATCAGGTGGCCCTCTGTTAGTTATGTCTTCATAAACACATCAATCAAAGGAACCAAGACAAGAAGCCTAAAGACTGGATAATGTCCTGTGATGTTCACTATTATTCACAAAATAGTTCATTTTAATGAAGGAACAGCAGTAAATTTTCAAAAGACTTCTCAAACCCAGAACTTGAAAATCCAGGCTCCTTTTCGGGAGTTGTTTGCAAAGTCCATGCAGTCCTATAATTTGAGGATAGGCAGTCTAAATCTAAAAACACAAAGGGAAGCTGAAGGCATTTCTTGAGACTCTTTGGTCATTACAGAAGGCAGAAATCATATCAGACGTTGGGTGTGCCAGTTTTCAGACCGGTTTCTGGCATCCTGACCCCACAGGTGTGGCTTCTTTAGGAAAAGCCCGTCTATGGCTGCCATAAGACACCATGTTCAAAGTTTTAATGATGGAACCATAAGGCACCCAGATCCTCCAGTCATCGGCAGGGGAAGTAGTTTATGGTATATGAGCAATAAAGTTGCTGGATAAAAGCAAAGATATTAAAGACCAAGGCAGGGACGATGTTAAAACTTCCCTAACTGCATGCTGATCTCCAGAAGAACCATAACAGTGTCTTTATGTACATTTCCTAAGAGTGCTGTAGGCTTGATTTTCACATAATGGAAAAGCATGTGATGACACAAAAGGCTTCTCAACTTCAAGCAGCAGTGTGAAAAAAAAAAAAGGGGGGGAATTAATCCATAATCTCTATTCATCTGCTGTTGCATTGGCTGTTACATTTCTCCTTTTGCTAATTTTTCAGACCAGTGGAGAGACCTATCCCTTTCTTTCTCACTAAGTTCTTCCTAGGCTGAAATAGGAATTTGCTTTTTTCATTATGATTCACTTTTTTTGTCATAATCAAAATGCTTTGCAATTATGCTCAGATCTGAGCTAGGCTCCTGCCAGACTAAGTTTCTCCTAGTCTTGTGAACTGGAGTGCATCCTTCCTGCACTGTTTCACTGGCTGGGCTCTTGGGCTCTACTGCCCATGAGAAATTAAAGTGCTCCTGTGGTTGCAGCTGTAGAAAGAGTTTTGCAAGGCTCTTCCTGTTTTTGCTTTTTGATCTACTTTCTTAAGAAGGCACTGTTTATATTTATTATGCTCAATGTGATTTTTTTTTCCTACTACCTAACAAACTTTGTCTGTTTCACACAAATCTGACAAATTTGAGCAGATAACATCTCATAAGGATGTAGGACCACAACAGATTTGCTGGAAACGGCCAGCTGTGTGGGAGAGAGGTTCTGGTAGTGTCTCCTCTAAGAGAAGGGTCACAGAGTGAGTTTATCCCTTTATCTAAAAACAGATATTTTAAATGACCTGCTATAGGGGAGCTTCACTGTTTGTCGAAGAGAATCCAGCCACAAAATAAAAAATACTTAGAAAACCAACTCACTCTAATTTCACTTGCTCAGCTGCATTGGAATTAAACCACAGTCTGAAATAGCAAAATCCTTCAGAAAGTGGAGTCTGTGCAATAGCCATATCATAATTCAATTATGTGCTTAGTACAGTTGAAAGGATCCATGTGTACACATGCACTCACACTCACCTCTTGCTTGTAATTAGCTCAGCTAGTCAGAGCATGGCACTAATAATGCCAAGGCCATGTGTTCAGTCTCTGTACAGTCCATTCACTTAAGAGCTGGACTCGGTAATTCTCATGGGTCCCTTCCAACTCAGAGTATTCTGTGATTCTATGGTGCAGTAACTCTTTTACTCTAGAGCTCAGCTTGAAAGCCTCTGACTGGCTTGTCTTCTCCCAACATAAATATCTATGAAACAGATTAGATCTCCATGGCCTTGGAAAGCAGACAGTGATAGATTTAATAAATAATAACTTTTAGAGGAAATGGACTACCTTTTATAATTCCCAAGATAAAAAGATCTTGCATTAGTGTTAGATTCAATGAAAGTAGTATCTTGCATACTGGATGCCAATATTTTTTGTAAAATTTTAAAATGTTTAACCAGGGCAGCAACTTTTGCATTCCTTGATGTCTTAGTACCAACTAAGTACTTATTTCTGTGATGTTTTCTCTTATGCATTCTTTTGATAACACTATCAATATTTAAAAATAAACTTCATTCTGGTATCTGGAATACCAGTATTTAAGGTTTCACCCTAATTTGTCCTGGTATGGTAATAAATGTGAAATAGAGGAAAAAATCTGAACAAGATACCATTTTAGAAGACACAGAAGAGAAAAAGTGATCAATGAGCATGTCCTCTTTGGGCTTCTAGCATCGATATAAACATAAAATGCAGAAACCAATATGAGGAAACCTTATATGAGGATGTTGCAATAACAAAAATACCAGTATGCAGGAAAGATTAGTAGGCCATGCCAGTGTTAAGAGTAGTGCAGTATGTTAAAGAAAAGTCAATTAATATTACCAAATTAATAATTTCAGTGAATGAGACAGAATTCCTATGTATTTCAAATGTATAACAATGCTGCCAGACATATTACTTACACAAGGTAAGCTTTGCCTGATCTGTCGAGGGACTCATAAACATGGCAAAATGAAAAAAAGGCTATTTAAACTGGACAAATGTGCTGCTCAGACTAACTCATTTGTAATTCAACAGATTAGAGAACCCACAGAGAGAGAATTAACCCTTTGTTTAATTCTGA